GAAGACCAATACTGGGTTTTTTTTTTAAAAAAAATTCAAACCACGCTAAGAGGAAATTTGTCCTTACTTCTATGCAAGATCTAGCAATGCCAGGAGGACGTTTGTGCTCCTGACATGAGATCGCTTGAGTTTTAGCAATCCCAGAGTCATCCCTCAGTCAACCAAAAAATAAAAAAAGGAACCAGACCCCTCATCTCCAAAGAGGGAGACAACCCGTTCTCTATGGTCTTCCTGCCTCCCCATAGTGTTGCTGTTGGGGTGCCACGTTTGACCCCCAGCAAACCTTAACTCTCCTTCTTCTTTTGAGTTCCCTCCTTCCCCAAAATGCCTCAGCAAGACCCTGCCGGCCCTCTTTGACAAAACAAGCAGAGGTCAAGGAAACAAGGGCTTCCAACGGGTATAATTTATTTTGTTCCCAAAACAGTTTTCAGGCAGTGGCAGCCGTCAATTCCTGTCTTGCTTTGAAGGCCTTTAAATAGTCATTTGAGGAGGGGGAAAATGTGGGAGTTGAAAGCAGTTTGGCTACGACTACATTTTCTGTCTTTCCTCTTCATGCCTGTTAAAGCAAGGAGGGGGATAGAACAGTGTTACGGAAGGTCGGGGGGGAAGCGCACGACATCCACGTTTTCTGGCCACGCCAATGACCACGGAACCAGCTCCCCTCTCTCTGCCGTTCCACACGCACGCACGCGAATCTCACGGCCACCAACTTACTTGCGGTTCCGCTCCTTGACCACCATCCGGGTCATACTTTGGATGCACTGGGCCCGGTAGTTCTCGTAATGCGTCTCCCGCGTCACGTCTTTCAGGTCCTGCATGTGGGTCCGTATCAGCATGGTGCGCAGCTTGACAAAGTCGCAGTGAGCCGGGTTCTCCACTGGCGGAAGAGAAAGCAGGGTGAACGGGTAGAAATCACCCCGCCACGAGCCCCCCTGGAAGAGGAGCAGCCACACAAGCCCACCGAGAAGGCTAAACAGATGGAGTCGGTGGCGGGGAGGGGGAGATAACGGCTGTTTTGAAGGAAGGCTCAACAGAACCTGCCTGTTCTGGAGCAGTCTACCTCTCAATCAAGTATTAATGTGGAAAGGTTTCCCCCAACATTTGGCCTGCCTAATTTGTTTATTCCATTTTCTCTCCTACATTCCACTTTTTTCGTTTTTTGCATCCCACAGTTAAACAAATCTGTGAATGTGATGTTGTTCTTAGTTTGTTTTTTTTTAAAAAAAGGGGCCGAATCCTGAATCCTCCATCCATGCCAGCCAGATTGGCACAGCTATTTGCAGCACAGAGAAATATGCATCGTTCCTGCCCCACTGCCTTTGGTGCAAGAGGGAAACAGGAAAAAAAATCTGGATTCAAACATCCCGCTTGACCACGGACCTCCTTACTGGGCCAGTTGCGCTCTCTCAGCCTCACCTCCCTCACAGGGCTGTTGTGCAGACAGAGGTGGCGAGCACACCGCCTTGAGGCGCGTAGAGGAAGGGAAAACAGAATGACACACACACATCTGGGTCTCTGAGTGATGGGCAGGGCATGGTCCACAGACACACAAGTCACGTTGGAAATTCCCAGACTTACCATCCACGACGCCCCAGGGGTAGATCCTGCCACGAAATCGCCGGCCATTCGCCTCCACCACTGTGTTGCTCCCAATGACGGCAAAGGGGATGCTGTCCTGAAAGAAAAAAATGGGGGGGGGCATCGAAAGGTCAGGCAAAAGTGACAAGAGGTGCCTCAACTCGATTTCATGGCTTTTGCAAGGGTGGCTAAAGGGGGGAGGGTCACAGCCCTACCAGGAAATTGATTATAAATTTAATAAATAAATCAACGATTGGCGATCATCTAGAAAAAGATTGAAAGGGGGCCTGAGAGCCCCACTGCCAGGTGTCTGAATGGCTGCCCTCCCCCCGGAAGACAGAGCTTCTCATCTCGTCCCTCCACAAACCAACGGGTTCAAAGCGCAAGGGAGGAGATGGTGACTAAACCTTAGAAAGAACTTTCTGATGGCCAGACTCCCTCAGAAGGTGGTGGGCTCTCCTCTCTTGGAGGTGTTTAAACCAAAGATGGGGGCCCCCAGCTGTTGAGGACGTTTGAGTGTTGGGTGCCAACTTTGGCAGCGGGTCAGACTGGTTGACCTCTCAGGTTCCCTCCCGAGTCTACCTTTCTATGAGGAGCCCAAACAAGGCCCTGGGCAACACACGGTAAGGTAGAGAACACAGGTTGCTCCTGCTCTAGGCAAGGGGATGCTTCACCCCAAAATTCTGCTTTCAGAGACACCTCCCCTTGCCCAGACCCCTGTAGCATTGAAGGGGGGCAGCGAGGAACTCTGCCGGGGTTTTCTTTGCTCACTGTAGAGCCCCGAGAATCAGCGCACCTTTTCCGGACAGCCTCCAATGCCCGAAAGAGGATTCTGCTATCACTCCCGGAGGCTACCGAGGACGGAAAGGATTATGGACAAGGGATTTGGGCCA